CTGAGTGACATGGCTGGGTGTCGCAAACAGTGGCGCTCGTGCATCCACTCCTTATTTTCCTGAGACCACTCTATATGAATTCCCCACCTTCCGCTTGAATTTGCTTTCAACATGCCAATCTTCATTTCAGTCTGTTATCCAAATGGGGCACCAAAACACAGCAACCAAAACCGGCGCACGAAAGTGCATGGTTAATGGTTGTAAAAAATGAAAGCGTTAAAGGAAGGAGTCAGTGAGCGGACACTTATTTTCGTATAATCATACTCACATATAATATCTTAGAAAAATGCTTGCATAATAACAGCCATTAGCTCGGTTTAAGGTCAAGAATCGTTTAGTGACCTTGATTCATGCTGATGGCTGTCATTTTATGAGCATTTTCCCACTGCATGAGAGCATGGCTAGGAATATCCCAAATCAGTTGTTCGCTCACCGAGTCGCCATTTCAAGATTTTATATGCTTATATGCTTTATATGCTTAACCATTCAAACGATTAAAATTCGAAATCCAACTATTCACGTGGTCTTCAACCAAACGAACACTACATGGCAGAAAGCAACGAGGTCATCGATTCGAAATACTACCGTTTTTAGGTGATCGACTGTCTATAGTCATCACCCGGTGTCTGCATATTTCTGACTGCCGTGTGCGTTTATTTACTCCAGTAACAGTTCACTTCAGTTTTTACAACCATTAACCATGCACTTTCGTGCGCCGGTTTTGGTTGCTGTGTTTTGGTGCCCCATTTGGATAAAAGAGCAGAATGAAGATTGGAATGCTGAGAGCAAATTCAAGCAGAAGATGGGGAATTCATATAGAGTGGTCTCAGGAAAATAAGGAGTGGATGCACGAGCGCCACTGTTTGCGACACCCAGCCATGTCACTCAGTGTACCTAACCATCGGTGACCATCATCCCGAGGTCCCCAGCCAGGGAGCCCAACGGGACCTACTCCAGTAACAGGCTTTAAGGCACCGCTTCCCATAACTGAACGGAATATCAAGTCAAGTGTGGTCAAGATTTTCGTGCCTTCTAGAGTTCATGGTATGTGTTTGTGTGTGTGTGTGTGCATGTGCATCCAGTTAGTCTCTCTCTCTCTCTCTCTGTTCTACGTTTATCAAAATCCCCGGACGATATTGGCTGATTATTTGTGAACAAAACGCCTTCCTAATCACTTTTGCACGAAACCCTATATTTCTGACGAACAAGCTCAAGTCAAGTCTCAAGTCATTAGTGGCCTTACGCACCTGGATGAGCGAATTTTCAGCATTCTACACCATTTATGTATACAAGTTTACAAAATCATCCAAAACAAGACTGAAATTACCAGATATCAGCTCTGTCAATGAAGCAGAAAATTATGTTATTATGTGGAACCTTTCTCGTTGTCAAGACGTGGACATGCGAGATATGGTAAAACAGAAGTACGGGCTTCGTGAAATGTACCGTTATTATTATTATTATTATTATCTGAAGAGATACAGGCAAATAAATGTTTGAACCTTGAGCGTGTGGATAATGTAGACACAGCTTTTGAAAATTCTTTGGGTGATGAGTGTCTGAGATCCTTTTGACAATAAAATTTTCACATTCTTATAGTAATGTCTGCAAGTTTCTCTTATCGGTTGTAAGTTGACAGAAATTCAGTATGTTCGATTCTGTTCAGTATACCTCAGAAGGTGTTTTGTGTTTTTGACAATGTGGTTGTCTGATGTACTCATATAAATGCATCATACATGCCTGTACTCGTTATCACTTTCACTATGAGTGATTCGGGACTTGAGATGAGTCAAAAGGTTTCATGTGAGGCATTTGGCTATTTGTGCTATAATAATCTACTAAACTGGCTTAGAATAAGAAACATACTCTCTGGGGTTGAAGGCAATAGGTGTTGCGTCAGTAACTTTATTGTTGTCCTGACGAAATCTCCTTAGGCAAATAAATTTTGCGGAGTGTTTCTTTGTACAACTCAACCACTGCAGCCACCTTATCTAGTGAAGATTGCTCTTTTTAACATTAAAAACGATCCCAAACCGGTGGAGCGTATTTCTGATGGATATGCACCGGAGCTTTCCACGAAGTTGACCGACTGAGATCATTTATGCATCTGATGTGAGCGATAATGGATTGTTAAAATCTGCGTCCCCATCGAATTATCTATCTTCCTCTGCCTGCATGGTTTCATTTTTCAGTCGCCTTTGTGTCTCTCGAATGCAATTTTCCGCAGATCAATCCAAGTGTCCACTTGTTCTTTCATGTTTGTATTTTGGTTAGCAGCCCAGTATATGGTAATAAAAACACAACCGAACGCACCAGTTGCATCTAGACAAATTATATATTCCTTTTTAACGGTCGCCAGTATATAAGTTCGTTCGTGAAGGAAAAGTAATCTGTCAGAACACAACTCCATCGAGAGAGAGAGAGAGATAAAGCAGAAGAGCTACGGAGTACAGTCCTTGCTGTTTCACCGAATGCCACAGAAAACTTACCTCTAAACGATTCACATCCACTTGTTATATATATTGGTTCACTGAAATTTTTAATAGGGGTACACCAGTCAATGGTTTTTCAGGGAACGTGAAGAAGTAATGAATTTAGTTTGTGGTCGCGGGATGTTGATTTGGTGATGATCCTGGAAAGAATTAATCTGAGAAAACCCCCATATGAAAATTACGCGCCCTCAAGCGAACCCGGTTCGAGATTTTTGGTTTCAGTCCTGCAAATGAATACGGTGGTTGTTTTCGTATCTTGGATGAATTTCACATGCATCGAGGAGTTTTTTCGATTTATCTTTGAGGTGTCAAAATGAGACCAAGTTACATTTATTTTTGTGTGGTTTTTCCTAACGGTTTTAATTGACAATGGACACCCTTTCTCCGTGTATTATGTCCACATAATCACTTCTGCTTCATCTCGTCTGTTTTGCTATGACAGAAACGAAAACCTTGTCGGTTGAGAAGTCCCTAATCCGCATGCTACTCAATCGTTATGAGCAATTCGGTGTGATCGGCCGGCCGGTGAATGATAGCAAAATTCAAGTGACAGTACGTTATGGATTACAGCTGTTTCAAATCCTGGATCTGGATGAGAACAAACAGATTTTGCGCACCAATTGCTGGTCTATGTATGTAAGTACTGCGTGAGACTTTCGGTCCTTGAGTGTTTACTCACCGATCATCGGCTATTGATTTTGGTCCGACGAACGCCTTAGATTGTTTTCCCCATGTAAGCCGTGTACGAATCATGAGTGACATTTGACACCCTTGGCCTAACCTGTCATCAACGCAACAGCAACAACGGATTGCGTTCTGCTGTTGTCCTCATTATCAGAAGCTTTTGAGGAGTTTCGAAAACTCTACATAAAACCATCCACTTTTCTAATAATCAAACATTCGTTTAAAGGAAAACTACCATCGGCTGAAATTAAGCGGTTTCTGTTATTAGGCTCGTCCTGAGAAACATATGGGTGATTTTTTCCTTTCCGATGAGTCATGCAGTTATACCACCGTGTTCTGATTGACATGCACGAGAGCTATCACAAAACAGGCTTCCGCTCGAAGAACATGGGTGATAATTTCATGATGTATATTTGTTAGTTAGGTTCGTCTAATCATGACCAATCCGACACCATGGGCTCGTCTTCAGATTAGGATATTGTGGTTTAATTCATTTTGATGGTACTTGACAGAAAATTACCCGATATGTATGCCTGATGAGCGACCGTGAAACCGGTCCTATGTGTTGTGAGAAATCTTTGCCCAGTTATTCGTACATTATAAAACATCAAGGATTTCTTTCACCAGACAGCAACGTGTCCCATTTTCACTAAATTCCACTTTTCCACAAAGCCCAGTGTCTGTGGTCTCACTTCAGTGGTTATTCTCCTTGTGTTGGATCAAAGGTTTCGTCTTTAGCGGTCAGACTGATTCAGTTATAAATCTGCGCACACTGGGAATAGTAAATTAAACAGCCCGACAAGCACCAGAGCGCAGATTCACTTTTATGAGCGATTTATCCATTTCAGTGGAGCCCGCGAGGAGTGTTAAGCTGATATCGGTTCCTCAGTCAGACATGTTGAGTCTTGATGCCTATCCAAACCTGAAGTGCGTTGACTCCATTTCTTGTTTACCTCATGTACCAGAATATACTATTGTACGTCTGCGACCAACAGAATTCTTCTGGCCAACATCAGCATTTTATAGATCCTGTCGATATTTCACTGAAAAGATCCGATTACTAACCGTTAGCCAGTGCTTTTCACAAGCTAAAGATCGCATCGCAGTTGCACATTATCTGATCCCGCTGTGCGCTTATTCTACTCAATGTGAGAGTGCAATGGAATTTTGCCCTTCGATTGGTCATTCAGATTGCATTTGTATTAGAATAAATCTTTGAGTATACATACAAACTGAAATGATACAATTCGTGTCACAGTAACCAATTTAACTATGATCATTCATGCATGGATGTTTATTTTCACATTGTTACAAACCATTTCAACATAGCTTTTTTTGCACAGCTTAATTCCGGTTTGGATAATCTCATGTATGTGTGCGGGTAATATTCATTATAGGCGAAGGACTCTTACGCAAGCGCTCTATAGATGTGAATCCTTGCAATTCGAACGTCCCCCAATCATAAATTGCTTTGCTAAAAAGGAACTGTCATAAGCGGTGATGGCTGAATGGCAATGTCACCAAGTTATCGCTCCGGCGGACTCGTGTCCAAATCCCACTACCATCGCCTGAATTTCTCACTATCTGCGTGTTGTATGGAAGCCCTCTGTTTGGCCAATTCTCCCTTCCTGAAAATCATATGGTTATGTCTTCAATAAAAGGAATCAAAATGAAAGATGGAAGATTTCATAACTGTTTCTCGTTTGGGAGAAGAAGTTGAGGATATCATATTTTATTTATTTGTACTGCAATACATGTAATTTACCATAATCTAGTGATTTTTGGTTGTTCTCTCATAAATGCATCCCCTTTTCG